TGTAGTTTTGGGGTCCCAAAATTTCTGAAATATCCCATTGATAGTACAGAGCTGTAGCAACCAGTCCCTATAGCCAGGAATCATCAAAATACCTGGCTCTTTTTTAAAAAATTAAACTTATTGGAGTGACATTGGTTAGTAAGATTACATAGGTTTCAAGTGAGCATGTCTATAGTACATCATCTGTATATTACATTGTGTGCTCACCACTCAGAGTCAGTTCTCCTTTCATCACCATGTATCTGCCTATTTTAAGAGATTATTTTTTAGTGTTTTGTTTTTTCTTTTTTAGTAAATTAGTAAATACCAAGTAAACATTCCAATAAAATACTATTAGCTAAAGAGAGGGCTTAATAGAAGTGAGTTATCTACTTCTCACTAGGCAGTGGTTCTCCATCTTAGCTGCCCATCAGTATCATTCTAAGGATCTCTAGACACCCCCACCTACCCAGGCCTAAGGCTAGTGAGAGCAGTGGCCTGGGCTGGAGTTCAGGGATGAGTAGTGTTGAAAGATGCTTAGGTGATTCCAGTATGCAGACACAGCCTGTAGGGTTCTTAGTTTGTTTTAATATCACAATAGCCTCGTATTAGAGGACCACCCCATAAGGTCTGAATGTACTGGCCTTTTGGATAGCAAAGTGTGATGGAGATGGCTTTGCAGGGTGAGTCGGGATAGAGTTGGAAGCTTGCCTCGATCAGCACCCGTTATGTTAACTTGGACAGACATTTTACTCTAGTCTGAAATTTCATTCCAGCTTTAGCATTAATCTTTAACACTTAGTAACATCATAGCAATTTTCTAGTTTCTATATCATCACATCAAGAAGTTGATAGATTCAAAATTTCAATCTATTTTTTAAATTTATTTATTTTTTATTATTCGTTTCATGTGTACAGAGCAATGCAATAGTTATCCTTTACACCCCTCACAAAGTAATAACCTCCCTCCCCCATCCACTGCCCTCCCACCCCAGATGTCATACTTAACTATTACAATTCCATTGACTCCATTCCCACACTCTACTCCACATCCCATGACTATATCTATATATAATTGTAGTTGACATACAGTATTATTCTACATCAGCTTCAGAAATACAGTGCGGTGATCAGGCCTCTACACTGTCTATGCAGTGGTCTCTTTAACAAGACATGAGTCCAACTGGCCCCCTAAAAAATATTTACATTATTGATTATATTCCTCAGACTGTCTTTTCTATCCCTGAGGCCATATTGTAATTACCAATTTGTATTGTCTCATCCCTTCCCCTTCTCCTTCATCTCCACCCCCTCCCAACTAGCAACCCTCAGTTTTTCCTCTGTGTCTCTGGTACTATTTCTCTTTACATTTCTC